ATAATCAGCTAATGACTACATTCTATATCAACTCGCAAACATTTAAAATGCTATTAAATATTTTCTTTCTTCTTCTTTTTCTTTTTTATGAAGCAAAAACTTCACATTGAATAAAGAATATTTCTATTTCAACTCTTTTTATTATTATTTATATATTAGTATTGTCTTTTTATTAAAAAAACAGTAGGAGAAACCAACTATTTAAGGGTGTGTTTGGGATAGCGGTGGCAAAAGTATTTTTTTTTCAATTTAACTTTTACAAAAGTCAAATTAAATAAAAGTCAAATAGTATAATGTGATTTATGTTTAGATTAAATTTTGTAAAAAAGTCAGCTTGAGAAGTTAAAACTTATTGGGATGATAAATATAAAAGTAAGTTTGAATGCAAAATAACTTAAAAGGACATGAATTTTATTAAATAGTACATATATAATATTAGATATATATATATATAATGTGACTATTTTAAAAGAAGTAAAGAAAATAAAATTATTAAAAGTAAAGAAATTTAATTTATTATTAAAAAGAAATTATATATATAATACGGCCATTTTAAAAGAAGTAATGAAAATAAAATTATTAAAAATAAATAAAGTTAATTTATTGTTAGAAAGAAATTATACTCTCTTTCTCAACAGTGTCTTTGGCCCTTTCTTCATAAGAACTATTGCAACCACCGCCACCTTCCTTTTTGCAAGTAGCCACACAAAAAAAAAACCAGCTTCTTTGAGTTTATTACATAAATCAGTTTTGGTGGCAGTCTGATACCCAACATGTGGGTCCAAACATCATTTTTCAACCTGTGTGTTACTTCTCTGGTTGGGATGCACGTTTGAGGGCCCAAACGTGATCATAAACATGCCCTAAGTAAGGCCGGTTCAAAACAAAAACTTCACATTAAAGAGGTGGCAACCATGTGGTGATTTGCAACAAAATTAGTGTTTGTTTGGATTAGCGGTGAACAACTACAATTTTAGATAATCATGAATTTTATAAGTGATACTGACGATAAGTGATGCTGGTTAATCGTGATTTCTGTTTGGGTATTTTTTTTACAAGTGATTTTAAGAATTGTGATTATGTTTGGTTTTCATTTACGAAAATCACTTTTGGGTTTATAATTACTAAAAAAAAATGAAGTTAATCAAGTTGTTTAAAAAGCAATCAAACTAATATATATTTTAAAAGAAGCAATATAACCATGATTATTCAATAAAAAGCAATCAAAAGGAATCAAGAAACAAGATGGTATATATTAAATGGGTATGGTCTCTCGTCGCAGTTCAAACTAATATATCTATATTTATACACACCACCAAAACAGACAATCACGATTATTCAAGAAAAAGCAAATAAAAGGAATCAAGAAACAATCACAAGTATTCAAGACGGTCATTCACAAAAAGGATGGTGAGGATTGGATGCTGTAAATTTGTAAGAATAAGATTAGTGAATTCCGAATTGCATAAAAAAAGTGAACAAATAAAAAGAAACATACCTTTTGATTGCTTGATTGATCCGAGAAGACGAGACGACGGCCTTATAAGAAAAAAATTGAAGTGGTTTAGGTTAAAAAATTGTAGGCAAGATATGTAGAGATAATATTTGAGGAGAGATTTTTGGAACAGTAAATGTTGAGATATCACTTTAGATAAAATAATAATAAATATATAAATAAGCTAAAAAATTATTAGTCATAATTATTTTCTTAATTTAATGATGCTCCTCAAATCAGAATATTACCTGAATATTTGATTGCATTGTTTCAATCATATGTCATCCGTTTAGCTTTATTTGATTTTTTTAAAAATGTCTTTTAGATAAAATTAAAAGAAAAACAGTTTCATATTATATGTTTTTTTAAAAAACAAAAAACTAAAATAATTACCATGAGAATGAGGGGCATATTGGAGAAAATTTAGTTACTGAAGATTAATCGAGATTTTTCAAACGCATAAATTACTTCTTGTTGCTTATCCTACAAGTGCGGTAGAAGGTTAAAATCACGATTTATCGGGTTTTATAAAAATTATCCAAACAATCCAAATATACTTCATAAACACTTATTTGAATATAAACGGGTTTATTTGAGATCCTACCACTTAACCAAACAGGCTTTTAACCCCAAGTCCAAATGCTATTAGCTATATAGGGTGTGTTTGGATTGACGTTGGACAAAATTGACTTCCAATCTAACTGACTTCTAGTCTAACTAACTTTTGTAATTGAAGTGAGAGTAAAAATCAATTAATGTAATGCGATTTATATTTGGATAGGTGCTTATAAAAAATCAGTTGAAAAAGTTAAAAGTTGTTTGGATGATTAAATAGAAAAGTGAGTTTAGTTATAAAACTCTATAGGAAAGCGTGAAACTGTAGTTTGAAATAAAAAAGTCATATTTTCCTCCGTTGAATCCAACTGAGGTTAAATGCCAGAAGTTGGTTAGGCTTTTAGCCCAATCCAAACAACCATTTGGTCCCAAATAAGTCATAAGTTACAGTTTCACGCTTTTTTATAGACTTTTACCGTTACAAACTGCAATCCAAACAAAGCCATAATATACCAAAATTATTAATAAGGGTCATGAAAATGATTAATATTATCATGTTGTGTCAAATTAATATTTGAATTTTTTATAAGAAAAATATTTATATTTAGTACTCCCTCCATTTCTTTTTATAAGCAACATAAGATTCTATTATGTAAATCAAAAAGTTAGTTAAAGATAACAGATGTGTAAGAATTGAAATTTTTTTATCCAAAATACCCTTATTTATGGGGAAAGAGAGGATAAGAATGAAAATAAAAAATTATTATAATAAAAATAATTATTAAAGAGAAAAAAATGTGTGATAGAGAGAGATGATAGTTCGGAAAATGAAATAATAAATATATTGAATATTAAAATAAATAATTAATAGGATAAAATAGGGAATTTGCTACAAACATTTAAAACAATTTACAAATATTACTTATATTTAGAGACAAATAGAGAATAGTAGTTATTGTTTATAAAAAGTGACAAAGTGAGAGAAAGCCATCATTCATGAATTTTCTTCATATATTAATTCTTTTATTGTTCTTGAAATTATGGAAGTATTATAAGCCATTGAAAATAGAGTAACACCGGTTACATTAGGAATCAACAAATTATACTCTCAAAAAAAAAGGAATCAACAAATTATTTTTCCTATTGATTAAGAGATATTTTAATTATATGGTTCTTTTATATATTATGCGAATCTACACAATTTATTACGTTAGGAATAAAAATGATATTTTATTACGTTATTACATTAAAAAAGTACTTATTTTAACCAAACATGTAATAAATATGCATGCATACTATTTTGAAACTAAATACCATAATTATTTTCTTGCGATTCACTATATCTTATTGAACAATAATTTGATCAATTTTTTTAATTTCTTTTAAATACTTAATTGCTTTTAAGATTTAAAATTTGTCAAACTAGCTAATAACCCTAGTTTTTAAATTATGATAAGAACGATAACACACACACGCAAATAAACATATAATATTTTTTACGCGTCGCATATTTTTTTTTTTTTTGAACTTTTGAAATGAAAAAATAGCGTAATTAAGTTATCTTTTATTGAAAAGAAGAAAAGATAAATATCTGTCTAATTAATAAAAATACTCCTTGCAGATGAACACACGATTCAAATTCCCATCTTAAAATATGAATATAATACTTGTAAAAATCTATATCTTCAAAATTAAAATAAGATAATTACATTTTATTTTTCAAAATATGTAAAATGAAAATATCTTTTTAATGGCATCTTTTTTTTTAAAAAAAAATAATAACTCCATTAATAAAATTAAAAATATATTTTTTGAAATATAGACCATCTGAATTAAAATTTGGATTCACACGTGTGCCAAAATTTTCTTTCAATTAATTATAATTATATATATTCCAAATCTGAACAATTTATTACATTTATATCCAAATGTAACGCCTATCACTCTCACACTTCATCAGAAATCAGAGTTTCTTCATTTTCACCAACTTTCAACGTAAAGTTCTCTGCCCTATCAACTTTACTCGCATCATTTCAATGTAATTTCTTTTTTTTTTAATCTTTTCATTGATTTTTCTAAATTACTTGTTTGAATCATGATTCTGATCTTCACAAAGATGACGATCGTTAGAGATCTTTGTTTTTGGCATATGGATTGGCATTTATTTATTGGTATTTCTTACTATTGAGCTTACCATAAATTTTATTTTTTTGTTGATTCATTATACCTATACATATGTGAATATTGATCGCATAATATTCTTTAATTTTTTTATTAGTCTTAAATTTTCATTTATGGTTTTTCTTCGGTTGGTCGCCTAAGTTTTGTGGTAAAAAAAAATTGATAGCTTGATTTTTTTCAGATTATCGATAGCTTGATCTATAGTTAGCACTTAACAAAAAAGAAATTTAGATATAAGTCTCGTGAATTGATCAAATATTAAAAAATGAGTCATTATTTACGTTTCACATGAATAACGCAATTTTTTTATATTCAATATTTTATATTAATCTATGTGATTTTTTGTTGACAAATTGAAAGTAATCGAAATTTTATACTTGAAATTGTATCTCTCCTTATCTTATTGAAAATATAAATAAATTGATTTGTGTTCATATTATCGACTTGATTAATTAATTAATTAATTAATCATTTTATATGTAATATTATAATTAACAGTAGCTTCAAATTTTATTTGAACTAGTTTTTCTCTTAAATTAACAATAGAAGTTAAATTAGTTATGTAGAAGAATCATTATTTGTTTTTATGAACTTAACAATATCCCTTCCTGAATAAATGTACTTAAATATGTGTTACTCAATTCTAAATATTCCCATTTTAATATATTCTTCTTATGTTGATTCTAGTTTGGCAATTCTTATTGCAAATACCCTTTTCGTATGTTCCATTTTTGTAATTGTTTCTCAGATTTGAGCTCTGACACAAAGTATGGATTTTCAAAAGTTGAAGCAATTATTAGTTGATGATGGATCATCATCTTCATCTAGCAGCAAGAAGAAGGTGGATGGTGTGAGAGGTCCAAACAAGCAGCTTGATTTGAATTTGTTGCCAGAAGATTCAGAAGAAGAACGAGATGATGGTGATGGTGATGATGAATTTTACATTGAAATATTTGGAAGTGTTGGAACCCCTCAAGCTGCTCTGAATCAAACTGACAATGTAAGTTTCTTCATCATATATAGTCACATATATTTATATAGTTTCATTTTTAATTACAATGTTCTTTACATAATAGAGAAAATAAACATGATAGTAAATTCTTGGAATTATTTAGCATAGGCTGCTTGTGATGAAATTAGGAGGGGAAGAGAAACTGGATAATTAGGGGTTGAAAAATTGTTTGGAGATCGACCATATATAGCATATAACCCCATGTGAAAAAGACTTGAGTGAGTTGAAATAATATGCTTATATACTTTTTATATCGTCTAAAGAACTTGCCCAATGTTAGAATTGCAGGGTTTTGGGACATATCTATAAATCTAATAGAGTATCTGAATTGCCCACTTGAAACTGTGTCACAATCAAGACTCGATTCACCTTACGCAACAAAAACATAGAGGGAGAGAAGAGAGCTTCCAAACAGAACAGTTTTTGAGAGAGAGGTCCACAGGTTATTGAGCACCTATCCAAAACTTACTCCCTCATGTCACTTATGTCCAGCGTCAGAATGATTGAAATTATTTTAATTAGTTAACTATTTAAACAACAAAAAACTATCTCATGCACCCGTTTATATAATAGGGCTTAGACGACCCTGATCTATCAAGGATGGAATAAGTATAACCCAACAAAAATAACCACATATATATTGATATTTTGACTTTTTACTTTTTATATTTGAAAGCATGAATTATTTGTGGCTGTTTAAACATATCTTTTTATAGCCTTTAGGAGAAATTAATTTGAATTGAGATAAGATATCATAGAAGTTGTTGAGCCTTGTTGCTATAAGATATACATTGGGTAGCAAACTATACTTCTATAGAATGCTTCATCCACTATTTTAGCTTCATCAATCATCATCCTTGTAAAGCCATTTCCTTCGGTTTAGAGGAGAATTCATAGCCTGCTTGCAATTTTCCATATGTGAAACATTTTTAGAATTTTCTTGGAGTTTTTTTATTGACAAATGAAGACTCACATTTGAATTTTGTTTGATCTTGATGATTTCAATCAAGTGGGCTATATATTAATTTGAGACCAATCATTTCTAACATGAAGTAATGAATTATTCAATGAGCTTTAAGTTGCAGCCTATGACTTAGAAGAACATCCTCATAATTGTTTTATTATAGGAACTACAAGAAGTAGTATGATTGTCTCTCAAGTCTATGAACAAGTTCAAATGTGTTGGAATATCTCAAAAGTTTGAGCAAACCATTTCAAATCCAAACCTTGCTTTGTGATTGTTGATGAAACCAACTATAAGGTTATATCTATATTGATTGTTTCGTCAATATATATCGTAGACATATTACTATGTCCATATATACTATCTTTCACAAATCGACGTAAAAAGTGCTATTTGACTGATGTGAAAAGTTTTTCCCGCAATAGCGTTAGTTCTGTCTTAATTTGATAGTCTGATTGTAGTTCAAAGATGTTTTAATAGCTTTGAATAGCTCTTCGCAGAGTTTGGTGGTAAACATATTATCTCTCTATATGAGACTATGGACTTACTTTATTAATTCAGCAACATCTTTTCTTTGAAAAAGGGTGAGAAACACCATGATACTTGCATCACTGATCGATCCAGAAATTAATAAATCATTAGGAGCTTAGAATTTAAATAAAGAGTCAAGGTGTTTAAATACTTTGAAAGTATTCACGAAAAAGCATCCAGCATCTAAAAGTTTTTCTGGCTCTTATATATCCTAAAAGTTTATTTTTGTGACAAATATACTATAGCAATTATCTATTTTTAAGTTTGACTATTAAATTATGTGGTTTGGTTCTTTTCTTTAATGTTCAAAATTAACAGTAAATGACGGTTATAGCAGAAATGTTACAAAATAAAACTTTCCATTTATATTAGAGCTAAAAAAAAAAATTTAGATGTTGTATACTCATTCGTGGATACTTTGAAATATTTAAATGTCTTAACCCTTAAATAAATAAAACTTTGGCCGGGGGCTAAAATTTATTTTAGCATTCCCCACAGAGTAACCCGTGCGTATATCTTTTGCCAAGGAAGATGCGTGTGATGTGAAACTATTTTCATTTTCATGGGTGGTAGGTGCCTAACTACATAGGTTTAAATGTCCTTAACTCATTCGCTCCATTAACACCAAAGTTGCTATTCTACTATAATTGTGCAAATAGTATATAGGTTCTCTTATGCCTATGGTAGGAAGAGGAAATCATGGGGAATTTCTTGATTAACATATTTGGCTTGGGTACTTCTTTTTCAGCCAATAATTGTTGTAAGATTTCCTTCCCTTTTTGTGCCTGTTGAATGTCAAATTCTAAAGTGACCATATTTGGATATATTCAAATTGGGAATAGCCATATAACTTTATGGATTCCCTACCCATCTTTGACATGGGTGCGGATCAATCTCTCTGGGTCCCCCCCCCCAATTGTTTGGTGGGTGTTTTTCTGTAAATGACCCTTTCTTTTTAATCATTACCTTATGCATAAAGTAATAAATATTGTTACTTTATGGATATGAAACGGTGTAATTTTGTATTTTTCATGATTTTTTTAAAATCAAAGTTACACCTAAAAATTCAAAACTGTATTTGAAAAAAATAAATTAAAACTATCATAAATTAAATTAAACTCATAATCAAAAGACTTCTCTAAATTTTCACAAAATAAGCCTTTTGGAGCTCATTTTAAGATCAAAACACTGATCAAGCCCAGAATAAGAGGACTTAAAAGGGAAACGACATGTTTTTGCCAAAATAAATGAGTTCAATTTCTCCTCAATCCACAGTTCAAACCAAATCAACCTATAACAACAAAATTAATATTCCAAGACAAACCAGAAATACCTTAAATCTAGCCTAACATTCACAGGGCCTGAAAATGGCCACTTGGAATCCATAATTCACATAACAAACCCTTCTCATTCATCAACATAAATCAACCCAATTAAGCCTCAAACAAGTTTAACACACAGTCTCTAATGCCTCAAATTTACCAACATAAGTCCCTTATCACCATTCATAGGCATCATATATAACCATTACCTCAAGTTTTCCCACATCCCACGTTATGAGGGGAAAAAAACAACTCTATCCATATCAAAGGACAATATGAGCTATAAGTCAACAAAATTAATTGAAAAATCAATATGTTAGTCACCAATTAAATTAAATCACCAAAGCACAGTGAAGAATGGTGTGCTTGCATTTGATACAAACAAAAGGAAGCCTCTACCATCATCCTGATTATCATAAGTATATACTACTACTTCTGGTCCTTAATATAAAAACTAATAAGAGATTGAATTTGACCTAAATATGAGATCTCAGTCTATTTTGTTTCTCAAATTTATAATATTTTTTTAAAATATCCTTATTAATTGTAAGGATTCCCACAAGGGATAGTACCAATGTACAAGATCAAAGAGAGTAGTTTAAGGAGGTCAACGCATTTTTGTTAGAATTAATTAATCTAACTAATTTTTTTAATATTTCAAATTAGTTACTTAGTTTTTATATTAAGGACATGAGGTAATATATAACAAGCCATTATTCATACACCAAGTACATCTTATAACAAAATACAATCAAGTATATTTTCCACCAAAATTACCAAAGACTAAAATAATAGCTCTCTTCTTTCAAGATAAGGGAGAATGATTTCCTTTGGTCCCATTACCAGCCCTAGAGCCTTTACTTAAAATATGATAGAACTTAAAGTGACATTGCAATGGTCTTAATAACCAACGGTTAAAACTTGAAGTGACTTTTCACACGCATGCAAAACATGTATATATGTCTATGTGACAGTATGCAAAACAATGTATAGTATGATTTTCATGTATATACGTACTTTCAATTCAAAACCATAAATATGTAAACATAATTCAGTACTATAGTAGTACATGTCTGTATACTGCAAGAGCTAGACTCAACTAATAAGCCCTGTTACTCCAAGACCATAGCTGGCATGAGAGGTACAAATACTAGATGTCCACTTAATTAATGACATTTATATGATAGTCAATACATACATAAAAACATACGCGATATCAATTAGTGAAACTCTATATTATCAAGCCTCTCTCTCATACACTCATTTTAGTTTAACAAAAATCATATTTTGTGAATGGAGCAGGAAGTGGATGCAAATTCAAATTCAAATGGATTTGTTCTTCCTCCATTTCCTGCTTCTGGGGACAACAATGATGCTTCCATGTTCAACAACACCACAGCTTCGTCAACAACAAAAATGGTTACACCGTCCCATCCTTTTGATGACAAGAGGAGAGCTCACCATAATGACGGTTCTTCGACCAGTTCTGGCACCCCGAGGAGCTTACGCCCTCGCCGGGCACCGGAGGCAAACTGTGATCGGCGAATTTGTACAAATTACAATTGCCGGACAAGAAACACTCCCATGTGGCGTAGGGGGCCCCTAGGTCCAAAGGTAAACAAACTTAAGCATGATCATATACCTATACTTGTTTAATATAATATGATGGCTTTTTGTTATTCTTTTGGAGATATAATTTGTGTTTTCAAATGATTCTTTCCTACTGATTTTTCAAGCAATCTATCCATACACAAGGGTAGCCAACCGTTATATTAGAATCTCACTGTTTAAGATTGATGCTTTTGTAATATATATACAATAAAACACATATATTCATTCAATGAAACTATAAAAATTTAGCTATCAGAGTCTGAAATAGCGTAAATAGTTGGATTAATTTTAGTATAATTTTTTAGATTAATTTGGAGCCAATAACATCAAAAACATTGTTTAAGCAGCCGAATTCATTCTCATCTAATTACTGGCTTTTTGTATGGAGAGAAATCCAGTTTAAACGAATGGAAAATGTGGCCGACACATTATGTTATACCAATTGATTATTTTGATGCGTTTACAAGATTTTTTTTTCCAATTACTAAACATTCTTAATTGATTCTATAATTTTTATACTTTTATATTTTACATTTTTTTCAATACAGACCCTATGCAATGCCTGCGGTATTCAGTACAAGAAGCAAGTTTCAAGCAGAGGAAGCGATCTGTTGTGATGCTTCAAAGGATTCATCCATATGTGATGCCTTTGTATTTAGTTCTTGCTCATCCCTATCTATCTATGTTTGAATTATTTGACCAAAATAATACTTTAAAAATCCATGGGTTGTTATCATGTATTTTCTATTACCTCAGAAGCATAGCTAACATAAATTAAATTTTAACTGTGTCTGAACTATATATAAACTTCTTGATTTTTATTGAAATCTATGGAAATTTCTATTATTTTAAATATATATGTGTATATATATAGGATATGATTGATGATTTTGAATATTTGCTTTGCATGATTGTGAATATGTTCCCAAATGTCACCATGTTTTTAGGAATCAAATCCTTCTCTTTTGATGAGAGTGTCTGATCCTTTAACTATTGAACCCACGATATGATGGGTCAAGAGCCACTTTATCAACAGATGTTATATAAAGGGATAATTTAGAAAATAAACCAAAAGGAAAATTATGCCTTTGTTTAAGAAACATTTTTAAATAAACCTCATCCATAATTAAGACTCATTTATAGCAAATATATATGTTCCTTTATGATGGTCCATTAAAAAATAGCAGCACGATCGTCATCATAAATTTAGTTACTTTTTTTTTTTTTAATCACAGTAAGCAAATTTCTAAAATAGAAAATGGCTAACGTCTTGTTGATAATTAATAAGATTGTTAGAGATAACGCCATTCTAACCACAAAATCAATTTTAGGTTTTGATCCTTAAAACAATAACTATGAGCATCACAAAGCAACACAATCCAATCCTTATCTCACAATTCAAAACTGATTTTCTTGCCATAGAAAGCTGCTTCTTTATCGGTGATTATTATTTCTCTTCCTTTCTTTCTCTGGTCTCAAGTTTTCCTTCATTTCCTTGTTTGGCAAATGGGAGAACCTCTCAAGACCCCAAGAACACCAACGTTGGATCTGCACAACATCTTTTTTATGCCAAAGACTGTGTCTTTGAAAGAAATAGGAAAGGTTTACAAAAATCTTTTAACCAAAAAGCATTCTGATAAAAGTTCTCGCAAAGAGAAACACTCCGAGGTAAACTTATACTTGAATTGTGAGCCTTGTTATTGTTGTTATTGATTGGTTGATTTATTTGTGTTTAAATAAGAAAACTCTTTGAACTTTTGCTGGAACCACCGAGGTTTTGATATAAACCTGTTATTTAATGAAATTCGAGAAAAATGAAAATCCAAAATCCATCTTTCTACGTGCAAATTTGAATGTGAACACCGACGGCCGACCCGTGTCTTTGAGTTTAATGAGCCCCCTTAAAGACTCAGGCTTGTGAATAGTATAGCTATATATATTTTTTCTACCTAAATGTTTACCTTTTGGTTTATTTTAATTTTCATCACTAAAATATTCTATCTATAACCAAAAATATTAAGAGAGCATTTTTTTTTGGCGATGATAAAAGGAGTATTTTATATATTTTTCTATTAAAGGTATTTTTTTTATACACCCTATGAAAGTGTTTTAGTAATATTTAAAATACTCATTAAACAAAGTTTATGTATACACATACGTGATATGACATGATAATCCGAGAGTATATTTAAAATAAAAAAATTAAAACACCCAAATTAAATTAAGTAGATCTATCTTAACCTTTGCCAGCAGTTTCTGAATCCTTGGCATGATGTTATGAGATTTTCTCACCACATAGCATTTGGTGTAGGAGTCAGCTGCAACACCTCCAGGTTCAGGAATTAATCGTCATTATGATGATGAAGATGATGATGATTTTTACTAGTCCTGCAATTTTGTCAAGAAATGCAAGTAGAAGATCAAAACACCAACGCCAACGAGAAGTTACCTTTCAAAAAACCCAAGCAGACGAAGCAAAACGCCTAACCCTGTATCAAGAAGCGCCAGTACAAGTTTTGTCTCTGAATCAGAAAGATCTGGGAATGTGAGCAGAAGAAGAGGTACCCTCCATTGTTGAACCTTCAAGCACTACTGCAGATTCCTTATCAAGAAGTAGAAGCAGAGCCAGACTTGTGCCTCTGAACCTCAGACACAAAGCCTGAGCTCTGTAGCCTCTCCGATAAGAGATACCGGCATCATCAGATCATCCGCAAATGACATCCCTGCAGCCTCTCTGTCCAGAGACACAAGCCGTAGGTCCACAACACCTATTATATTCTCACAATCAACTGTTAGAAGGAAACCCATGCCATAGAGAAGAAGTTGGAGTGCACACTTGAAAATTTATACTTTGGATGCGTCAAAAGATCAAATTACGAGAGACGTTATCAAGCCCCCTGG